CTCCTGGTGGTCAGTGTGTGTCATAGCAACTGGTCGGACAGACAGACACTTAGCCTTTTATGTCTATACTAGAGGCCTGGTGCATGAAATTCATGCACTGGGGGGGGGGGGGCAGGCCCTCAGCCCGGCCTGCACCCTCTCGCAGTCCAAGACCCCTTAGGGGATGTCTGCCTGCTGGCTTAGGCACACTCCCTGCAGGCCTCATTAATTTCTTGCAGGGAGCAGGCCTAAGCTGGCAGGTGGACATCCCCCGAGAGGTCCTTAGCCCTGTTGCAGAGGTGGAAGAGGCTCCTACCACTGCTGCTGCGCTTGTCAGCGTTGAGCCTGGCTTCTGGCTGAATGGCGCTCCCCCTGTGGGCCCGGCTAAGCTGGCTAAGCTGTGCTCCCCGTGTAGGAGTACACCGACCATCCGGGGGAAGCTCCTGCATTGAGCATCTGCCCCCTAGTGGTCAGTGCATGTCATAATGACTGATTGGAGGGGCAGAGGGACACTTAGTATATTAGCCTTTTATTATATAAGATATATAATAAATCAACCAAACAATGGAACAACCAGTCGCTATGATGCGCACTGACCACCAGGGGGCAGATGCTCAACACAGGAGCTACTGAGCTGCAGTGACTTGGCAGCAGCAGTTCTCAGGTGACGCACCCCAAAACCAGAGAGGAGGGAGCCTGATTCCTCACGAGGCTGCGCGATTCCACCTTCAGCCGTGGATTATGTTGTTGCTGGGGCACTGTTGGCCTCGAATATGGTTTACTGCACACTTGCGTTTGCGTTCCACACCCTGTATAATAGCAGCTTTGCAGAATTCCCTCTTGCACTCTGGGACCCCTTGGGGGATGTTGGAGAGCCGGTTTTGGCACGATCCCCGCAGGCCAGGCCGAGGGACCCCACTTGCTTAGGGACCCCGCTCACTCCACAGATGCTGGGGAGGGACTGAGGAAAGTTGGCTCCAGGGTGTGTCCGGCCTATCTTGCCCAGTCCCGCCCCGCTGGCCACCTTCTAATTAATTTCCTTTCAATGTGCATGAATCTGTGCACTGGGTCACTAGTATATAGATAAATGAAAGTAAGGCAAGAGAACTCAAGTTTTTCTAGGTTCGTAATTATAAAGGTTTGAACAAACAGGTAAATAAACTTAACTACTTCAGGTCCAAATAAACTTAAACTAGATATATATATATATTGTGATCAGTGCGTGTCATAGTGACTGGTCGGAGCGGCAGAGGGACACTTAGCATATTAGCCATATTTATATATCTCTATCTATCTATCTATCTATCTATCTATCTATCTATCTATGGCTATAGTTTGATTCAACACAAAACAATCTCCTCTAACCTGAGTTGGCTAACCAAGTTCACAAGCATATCTGCCTTTACCCTGGAGTTTGGTTGTTGATCCAGCAATTCGCTAATAGGTGTCTCTGTTGGCTTCCGTTGGGTGAGTCTTGCAGGATGCTTGCCTCCAGACCTTTTATCTGGCCTTCTGGTCTGTGGCACAAGGTGGCAGGTACAATCTCAGGGGGAAGATGTTGAAAATCATGGAGATACTAGGTACCCTTGTTGGTAAGGTACCAGTAGAAGTTGTCTCCAGGCAAACTACTCCTCAGTAGCCTTGTGACTTGAGAGACCTTTATGACATGAAGGTTGGGTGCATTCTTGTCTGCCAGCTTGGGGTGCTTTGACATGTTGACATCCTTCTTGGCCACCATCACTCCCTCCTTAAAAAGGAGTTCATAAATGGCAATCTAGTTCTTTGTGGGCATCAAGATCATCTGGGTCCAGGGCTGGAAAGCCAAGATACCCTATTAAACCTACTCCTTTATAATAAAAATTCAGACAGTCTGCAGCTTAGGACCAGAGGAACTGCTTTCCATACAGGGCTATTCCCAGAGAATTCTTAAAAAGCTCAGTTTCTTGGAAAGGTTGAGGCACTTGGGAGGAAGAATTCCTTTCTTGTATATACCTCTAAAGAAGAATAACAAAATCTTTTTAAAAGTCTTATTTCATTTATGCTTATCCCTACAAATGGAAAGGACATAATGACCAACCAGGTCAATCATTTTTACTTAATTGCTAAACTTTACCTTCGTATTGACCAATTGCTGCAACTTCCAAAGGCCGGCAGAGATATTTTTAGTCTGCCAGCGGAAACAGGAATTTATAAGACGTTTAGAACAAATCATGAACTCACCGCACCTACAAACTCCCCATCTTACAGGGGAAATACATGGGGAGGGATTTGTGCACCTTCTCAGCTGAATGTCCCCAGCACACTGTGGTGCCCGCTGATGTCTCCTGAGCAGGAGAGCATGGACATTTGGGTAGAGCACCAAGGCCTAACCATGAGTTTGATAATCCTGATGCACCCCCAGGACCAAATCAGGCTTTGATTGGACCTATTTGGTCCAATATGATCCTTTGTCAGAAATTCCTTATCTCATAGGATTTAGAGATGTTAAAAGCTCTCTTTTTACCCTTCCTCCAGCTTCAGAGAAAGTTAACGAACTCAAAGGCCAGGGGACAGGGCAGGTAGCCGAAATTGTAAAATAATGAGAACTTGGGCCACCCACCAAGGTGAACAAAGCAAACCAGCACACATCTTTTAATTTCTTCATCGTCCATTAGGTAACATATAATACTCTTCTTCAACTGAAAGAATTTAAAGTCACATGCCTAGGGCCTTCTTATATATCCGGTCTCTCCCAAGTTGACCATGCATCACCAAAAATATCTTGTGTAGATATTCATGCTACTAGATTTTGGTTATGTGTAAACAAGAATTGTTATTGGAGTCATAATTAGTCTCCAGATAATTGACTCATGAACTTGTGGCTAAAAGTTTCCTTTGTTAACATAGCCTTAGATTCCACTGAAGTAGAGTTCACAGAAAGGGGAGAGGAGCAAATTGGTTGGGAAATTACTCTTTGGCACATACTTCTTAAACCAGTTGAGCTTGATTTCATTGTATTTTTGATTGGTCAAGGGAGGGTAAGAGACTTTACATAACTGTTGTTTTAATTTGCTGAGTTAGACAAGTTCCTTGCTTTGTTACTTAGTTCCTTAAATCGTTTTTGTAAATCTAGCTCTTTTGACTTTCTCCGTGAATATTCATTCAGTAATTATTTGGGGCTATATTTTGGATCCAGCTGTTTAAGAAGAATGACTGAGAAGGAAATTGGGGCAAATTTATTCTATGAGGTGAGATCAAAATAGGAGTTGATCTTAAGCCTACAGCCAAAATGAAGTCAGGCTCACAGAAAAAATGTACAAGGTGATTATGAAGTTTGCTTCTAAATTAAATATAAATCTGTGGCAAGCTGCATCTCATTTCAGTCAGCTGAGGGCCAGCTGGCAGCCTCTGTAGTCCCTTGCAGTGTGGTAAAGCCACTCAAGACCTTGAGTTCAGCTGTCTTCCCTCTTTTTTTTTTTTTGTCTTCCCTCTTGATTCAAGTCATCCAAGGACCCTATTCTTGAAAGTTATGAAAATAGGACAACAGATTCAGTTGTCAACACTAGCAGTGGCAATCACTTGCTGTTTTTTTGTTGTTATTTACTTATTTATCTTTAAAGCCTTTACTAGAAAGTTGATTTTATATTAGCTCATGCTGGATTAAGTCAATATCTGAGGATGCTAAAAGCCTTACTGCCAAGCCAGTTTTGAATACAGTCTAAACTGGAAACAGAGGAGCCTTCATTGGAATGACAGCCAAGAAGCTAGTCAGTTGTAGATGTAGCTTAAAAGGTCATTGGCTCACTTGCAAGAATACTGACAGCCTCAACATTTGCTAGAAATTCCTCTCATTAGTCAATTGTTTTCGAATTTCTTTCCACTGGGAAACCCAAGAATGCCTCTTGCCTGAGTGTACCATTCTCAGCTGATCTCTCTTGCCGAGATGTTAGGAATGGTGCCTGGCAACATCCCCTGTGAATCACAGGTCAGGAGGCAGGGAGCCTTCCAAGCTCTCTGCCTATACTGCCACCACCCTGTCTCTCTGTGACTCAGCCCACACTCTCAAAAGGGCGTAAACAACATACCTTGAGAAAAGTACATGAGGCTTAGACCCAGAAGAATCAGAACCAGAAAAGATCTCATCTGGGGGGCCCCTGGCAAGGCACAACAGGCGTTCTTAAAAATATTGTCAACTGAACCCAGGGCTTAGGCAGAGCCACGCCCTGGGGGCGGTCCTAGCCCAAAGGCAAGCAGGTCAACCAGTCTGACCTTTCCAGCCCAGGTGCTAGGGGGTGGATCTCATTATGTCGCCAGGAACTCAAGGCCCACACAGATGTGATGTAACTTCCTGGTATTTGGGTATAAATTAAAGACATGGTTCCGGTGCTGAGCCCCCTGTCTGTCCCTCCATCAGAGGGCAGAAGCCCACCCGGTCCCAGCTTCTCCTTTTATTTCTGTGTCTTGTCTCTTTATTTCATTTCTCAATCCCCAGCACCTCTACTCAAAGAACCGGTTCATTTCTCTTTCCGTGCTGGACGCGGAAAAGAGAGACCTCCCGCGATAATCTCAAATAGCCTGTCCAAGAGGGGAACTAACCATCCTGGCTTACCTGGTACTAAGAAGTATAGACCTTTCGGTGCTAAACTTGCAATCTTAGGCAAACTGGGATACTAGGTCACACTATTCTCAACTGCTTTGCAGAGAAGAAACTGAGGCCCAGGAAGCTGACTCGCCCAAGCTAACAACATTAGTCAGTTAGACTCCAGATCCATTGGCACTGGAGTCCAGTGCTCTTTCTATGCTGGTACTTCCTTGTTCCCTCCGTGTACTGCATGTAATAGGTGTTTGGGATTCTACTGTGGTTGTTTTTCGTGTTCAAGGGAAGTGCTTTTCACAGATATGATCATTCCTAATTAGCAATGATCTCACGCAAGTTCATCATGAATGAATGGTGAAATCAAATCTCTACTTCTAGACTGAACAAAACAGAGTCATGAGAGGGAGGGAGGCTTGACGAGCAATAATTGTACAAAGATGAAGAGACCTATGTGTACAGGTTGGCTGAGCAACACTGAAGCAGGGGACACATAGGAAACCACTATGGAGTGTAAATACAAAACAGAAGGATGTATTATTTCCCTTATTAAAAAGAGAAGTATCATTCCTCTGACAAAGGTAACCACACACACACACACACACACACACACACACACACACACACAGTAATGACCATGTGATGAAAATTTATATCACTTGATATTCAGGGCTATATATTTTTCAAGGACTCCAAAATAACACAGCAGTGTTATTTGTTCGAGGTCTGAGATTTGCCCCGTTTTTCTTGCCAATGTTCTCTCCTGGATATATTTTTTTAAAATTTCTTTATTGATTAAGGTATAACATAGGTGTCCTTATCCCTCCATTGCCTCTTCCCCCACTCATGCCCTCACCCCTCTGGTGTCTGTGTCCATTGGTTAGGCTTATATGCAGGCATACAAGTCCTTTGGTTGATCTCTCCTCCTTACCCCCACCCTCCCCTACCTTCCCTCTGAGGTTTGAGCATCTGATTGATGCTTCTCTGTCTCTGGATCTGTTTTTGTTTATCAGTTTGTTGTTCATTATATTCCATAAATGAGTGAGATTATGTGATATTTATCTTTCTCTGACTGGCTTATTTCACTTAGCATAATGCTCTCCAGTTCCATTCCCCTGGATATATTTTTTTAATTTTTTATTGATTAAGTTATTACATATGTGTCCTTATCCCCACATTACCCCCCCCCCTCCACTCATGCTCTCACCCCCCTGTTTGGATATTTTTTAATACACTACCATAAATTATTAGGGATCATTAATCTGTTGTACCTAGACCTTTATGATCACTTATCTAAACACTGCTATAGTCTCACCTGCAAGAGACACTGGTGTTTTCCATATGAGGGAACAGAGACTAGCTGAGGATTAAGACTGGAGAAATGACTATTGGAACCAAGGGTCCAGGAACATTTTTTTACTGTAGACTTCTTCACCAGCTTACTTGTGGGGTAGTGCTTGGCACTTTGATTTCTTTTATCTGGGATAGAGCCCAAGGAAGTAGTACATGGAAAGGGAGCAACATAAACAAAATAGAAGTGACTAAGGTGTTTTGACACTCATTAAGAAGGGTGGTACTTTCAAAATGGGAGCCAGGTACCTACTTTTCTATTCCACCACACCTTTTCCTGCTGGTGACCAGAGACAGAGCTACCTCTTCTTCTGACTAATCCCTAAAAACGTAGGTGAACAGAGGCTGAGCTGACCTACTTTGTAAATACCTGCTATAGAGTTAACCAGCAAACTTCCTGAAGGCAGTGGTCATGCTCACACAGCTGCTCTGCTTTAGGCTGGGGGCCAGACTGGGAGCTGACCTTAGGATAGTGCTTCTTAAGGAATGGCATGTGACCATCCATCAGAAGCAAGGGCGATAGGAAACAAGTGCAGATTAAAAATGCAGATTATTAGACCTTACCCTAGACATTGTGAATCAGATTTTTTTCTTTCAAAATAAGCGTTTAAATGTAGAATAGTTTGTTTTGGATTTACAGAAAAGTTGTGAAGAAAATGCAGTATACCAATTTTGTTTATACATTCATCAATTGATGAACAAGTACTTGGGTTGTTCCCATTTTTTTGGCTATTATCGGTAATTATGTTATAAATATTCATATACAAGTTTTTGTGCAAAAATTTTTAAATCTTTACCCAAGGACATGCTCATTG